GCAGGACCTAACACAGGCGAGGGGCAACATTCAACTGAAAACTTTCTTTTCTTCTTCTTTCAATCTAATCGAAAGTAGATCGTTCGTGTCCGTCGTTATTTGGTGCACGTTCCTCGAACCGATGGACCAATAACTTAGAGTGCGCCTTCGGGTCACGAGAAGTCGCCCCGTGCGGTTCCCACAATCCCTTCTCTGTTTCTTATTTTCTTCTTTTGGCCACTCTGCGTTTGCATAGTATAGACGCGCAGCTGCAACGCATGAAACAAAATAAAATCACGTTTTGTTGAAAGTCGAAAGCCTGTGTTGTTTGTTTGTCTTCAATATCCATCTTTCGTTATCGTAAATTAAAAGCAATGTCTTCTATCTGAAAAGATAAAAAAAGCGAAGATACGAGGCAGGCGTATTTCGGCAGGCGGCACTAGTAATACAGATGCGCACGAATCAGCCTCTCAACTATGGGTGTCGCGAACCGGCCGAGGTTGGAGTTCGACCAGGTTCGACTTTTTCGAACTTTCAGAGGAAATTCGACGACCTTGTATTGAGGTTCGACTCGTGTGCGCATGCGCGACAGGCTGGCCATTTGACTTTGGATTGGATGGTGAAGGCTAAGGCATTAATTAAGGGCACCGCTGATTAGTTATTTCAGTTAATACGGTACAAAAAAAGAAAAAGTTATTAACTTCTTCAGTGATTCATAAAATAAAATAACCCTTTGCATAAAAATAAATTCTCCAAACCCAGACTTGCTTGTATCAAGGTTTGGCCACACTGTCCGCAAAGTCGAACCGGTCGAATCTGGTGAAAAGTTTCGACCGAAAGTTCGACCTAAAAATCCGGTTCGACAAAAGTTCGCGACCCCCGTACTCTCAACGAATCGCGCTGCTACAGTTCCTACTAGGGAGCCTTCATAAGCGCACATGAAGGCACTCTAGTTCCTACCCTTTGCATTCTTTGATATCCAAGCTCAGGAGCAAACATTTTCCACGGGTCTGCCCATTTCCACTCGTCCACTCAAGGGGTGCAGTGGACGCTTTGCTCGCCGCCGACCGTCGATCGTGTAGCACCTTATCATATCTTCTGCATCATACATAGCATAGCCTAAATGGTCATAGCCGTGGATCAGAGCAACTATAGACCATTTTATTGTGATTAGCGCCATTTTGAATACTGTAGCGCCATCTAGCGAGTGTCGGATTCCGCGGTCATGCTGAGTACTTAGAAACCTTGGCGAAAGTGATCTTCGGGGCGCCGCTTCCTCGTTGAGCGTGCTGGTTGGGGGCTCCAAAGTGCTGGGTATCTGACTCAGGGCGCGTCTTGCGTTCTTGTGTGCCGCGGATGGCCTTTTTCAACTCGTTGGGAGCATTTCTTGCCCCGCATTGTGGCATCCGCCAGTGCGGCGTTGCCGAGAAGAGCGGCACTGAACGCGCCTCCGATAGACATCGGAGGTGAGTAATCGAAAGTTTGTATAAGTTTACAGCTCCGCCGTTTTAGATGCAGAACACCGAGAATATTTTTGGCGTTTCGTGTCGGCCACAACAGCGAAATATAATGTGAACAAGGACGCGCGAAATAAACTCGCAGAGAGCGATCGAAGGCAGCTCCCTCGGGCTTGATGGTTAGAAAAGTTTTGAGGATCCCGTATCGACGAATAAGTCCTTTCCTTTGTCTAGAACTGAAAACAACAAACTCCAGAAAGGCCCACTGCCGCAGCGAGTCGATCAATAATTCAACGATTTGAAATCCTCAACGAAATGCCCCTCCCCTACCAAATGCCCCAGGAGACAAGTGCCCCAGGAGACAAGTAAATAAATAAACAAAAAGTGTCATTGTCGTTGACGAGGCTTCTGCCGAATCGATGCTCCAGACGGGTTCGGATGATGTTTGAAGGTAGGAAAAAGGACTTGGTAATTTCACGTATCATAAACGTGAGCTCCTCTTGACCAACATCAGTCCATTGTGCCGCAATGATTGGACGACAGCCTTCGCGTAAAGCATGGCGGGTGGGCAGTCAGTAAGCCTTTCATCTATCGCTTCAACCTCCTCGATCGATCCACCTGGAAGCCAAAGTGAGGGGGCGTCCGCACTAGAGCCACTAAATGAGCTACGCTTAAAGTATCGGCACTCTGTTCCCCGGTAGTGTTTTGGGCGCCGCCATCTTGGCGCTTGTGCAGAGCAGACGCACGCTGCCGATCGTCATGATTCAAAAGTGAGATTTCCTCAGCATTAGAACCGGTGTTAGGAAGCTCATGTATTATTGATTTTCTCTGTCCCGAACTGTTTAGACATTTGTGGAGGACGGAAAAGCGTTTCCTGTGATTTTCAATAAAGCTTCATATAATTGGCGATTATTATTTTTAGCCACAAGATGGGTAAGTGTCGTTGCTCTGAAGCCCAGCTTATTTAGTGGCACCCGTCCGCACCAGCCAGTCACGTGACGCTCCAGAGGCACGTGATTGGCGGACGGCTCGTAGCTTCGGTAGGGGAGAAGGGTACGCCAGCTTTGCGAATCGGATCATCGGACGGTGGAGGACGACAAGCTGTGTGCGACTGATCATTGGACGGGTTCGGCGGAGACACATAAAGCATTGCATGTCACCCACGGCAGAAGCCCCATTAAAGGCCTGTTCACACATGCAGCGGAGCGCTACAAGCATAGCGCTTACCTCGCGCTAAGCGCGTGCTGACGGGAGCGTTCACCAGCTTTGTATCCCACCGTCAAAACTGTTGCTCATGGCTGACGATAAGTAGCTGACGGCACGTGAGGAGCGCTACATCAGCGCTTCGCTGCATGTGAGAACCGGCCTTAAAAGATAAAATTTTTCTAAGTTGGAAAGAAATAAAAAATCAAGGAGTATATTTTCAAAAACTTAAGGCACTAATCAACAAGAGAAAAAAAAAAAACGGAGAATAGAGATTAAGAAATTCGATAGTGAATGTAGCGTAAATTCGTATATTCGAGGCTGCGGTTCGCGCGTTCTTTTTGTGTTTCGCCAGATTCAAAAATAATTTGCCTAAACAATTTTGTTAACGCGATTTTTTTTGTATATTTTTCTTTGGGGCTCTTTCGGCTGTGACACTTCCAGCCTGAAAATTAAAGCGGGAAATCTGCAATTCAAATTTTACCGGAACGCCTCAAGTGCGTACGCATGAAGACCGCTATATCTATTTTCGCTTTGCGTGCCTAAGGAACTTACTTAGGCGCAAAGAAGGCGCCTACATAAAACTAATCTAATTTTGCGTCGTGAAATACCACATTTCAAAAACGTCCTCGACGCAACCATGCGGGAGAACCGGCTTCCTTTTTGCGGCAGGACCATACTGTTGGGTGGGGCCTTTCATTTGAAACGAGGCTTCACAATGCGGGCATGTACGTGTTGCGCTTTAATTTTCTCTCGAATTATCGCGATCGCCCTAAACGCACAATTTTTAAACCCGATAATTGAGCCATAACGAAAGGAAGACAGCTTGCTGATAACGCGCTTGTCTGATGTCATAGTAGACTGTAGTTCGCGCAGACTTGGAACACATCTTGAAACGCCGGCTCTCATATGGAAGATTTCACGAGGATTAGACAAGCTACACTGTTCATTTCGCCCGTTTGCCCAAAACGTAGTTCTGTTTCACCTTCCGCATTATTTGAGTGCGCCCTCGTCCTTGCGGAATAGATTTGGTCTCATGTTGTTCCTCGTTGTATCGTCCCATCTCCGCCACGTCCCACACGTCATTTCAAATTCAAATTCAAATTCGTTTATTTTTGCCACAAACGGTACATTTGTGACAGGGGCGCTGGAAAAAAAGCTGCAGGTCTGCAGCTTGACGAGTCCCAGCGCCCCAGAACAAGGTAAGAGCGGCACCGGCACATACACACAAAAAAGAACGGATATGCGCACTACTGGCCCAAGACCGCAAACACCGCTCACAAGAGCGGTAGAGATAAAATTACGCCAGGCACCAACATTCCAACGATAAGAACATGAACAGATAAGAAACTCTGTGCGAAGTTTTTACATACAATAATTGTTTTAGTTCAAGAAGAAAATAATATATCTGAGTAACCGCTTTTTAAGCAGGAAGCGAGAGAACGTCTTGCCGAAGAAAACAGGAACATAAAGTGAAATGAAGAACTGTAATTTGAAGAAAATTTACATTTAGCCAGGACGACGGAAACCTGCAGTTAATTGCAAAAAGATTCCGTTAAAACACGAAGATGAAGTGAAACGGGCGTCTCTCGTTCGAGAGGAATCACAATATGAAAAAATAAAAGTGGCAATTAGGCATTTTGTGTCTACTGACCACATCTTGGAGATTCCCCGCATAAGTTCGTTTCGGGCCAGGTCCGAAATCTTTCCGGACTTTCCGATCGCCACAGAAGACCCCTAGCCAACTAAAAGCAGTATCGTTCTGGCTCTACTAGTTGCAATAGAGCCCTTACACGATTGCAAGCTGGGCAACTGACCGCCGCCATGTCTGTGCTCGTGCGGACAAGCACATGCGAGTTTAATCCTGCCAAATGTACGTGAACCTGCACGCTGTACGTGCTTGCACGTATGGGGCACCAGTCGGGCGCCATGCTTGCACACCTTGCGAATGTTCACAAACCCACAGCCCAGCACGTGCATTGTTCGTGGCTTCAGAAAGCGTGCAAAACGCGCCATATCGCACGAGCTCTGCAAATAACGCCTGCCAGACGCTTTTTTTTTTTTTTTTTTGTAGCCAGTTTGTATATTGTAAATGTTCGTTGTTTACTGCAAATGCAATAGTGCGCCTCGTTGCTCCGGGCTCACCCCCTTTCCCTCTCCTCTTCGTACTCTATTTAATGAGCTTGGCTCGACTAGAGTTTGTGTGATAGTAACATACGGAGACGTGACGGATAAAGGCCGCACTTTGGGTCGTCGCCGCCATAACTGCTGGGAAGCTTCCTTGTCGGAATTGATGAGCGCTTGGCCCAGACAGCGGTATCGACCGGGGCCGCCAACCCCGTCGGAGACACGTGCACTCACCGACGTGGTACGTGACCTGGACGTCCTTGTTGCGATTGTTCTCCCTGTACTTGTCCAGGGCATCGTTGGTGGGCGCGAACACCGTGATGTCGCTGCCTTCGCTGTACGCCACGAACAGCTTCGCCCGCTCCGCCAGCTGGTAGAACTGCGAGGGAGGGGGAAGCCTCGGTCAGGACAGAGCCCCTTCACACACTCGAGCACCGTTGCTTTTCTTTTAAGGCGTAAGCGACAACAGCCGCTGTCTTTTCAAGAGGACTGATGCGCTCCTGAAATGGGGCCCAAATCGCGCCTGTGGCAGCTGCAAAAATCCGCCTCTCGAACCGGGGACGCATATTGCGCAGTAAAGGCTCGTTCACACACTCGCAACGGAGAACGACCGAGAGAGACAAGACCAGTTTTTAAGCTCCTTGCGACGTCCTCTCGGGTTTCAAGGAACCCAGTTTTAAAAGTCGCAAGAGTGTGAACGGGCCTCATGTGTGAACGGCGCTTTAAGCGCCGGTCACACACTTGCAAATGAGTAGACCGGGGAGAGACAAGACCGTTTTTTAAGCCTCTTACGACGTCTTAGGACCAGCTCGGCAGCAGCGCACCCGGTCCAAAAACACTCGATAGTAGAGAGTTTTAGTAGATCGTTTCCATGACTCCGATAACGATATCCCGATATTCCGCCACCGCCTTCCTTGCGCATGCAAAGTATCGTTATCGGGGCTATCGGAGGTATCGGAACGATCTACTAAAACTCTCTAATACCGATACCTGCAATGCGGCGTGCAGATATCCTCAGTAAAAAGGATAGCCGGCGGTTTCAGAAGCGCGCACGTGCCCGCACATAGAATTCTGCCATCGTGTAACCACCAGCGAAAGAGCGTGTCTTTTGCACCATGTATGAGCAGTGACTGCGGTTCAGCAAAACACGTCAGTGTCGCCCGACCGGGGTCATATACTGTCGCCCGCATTAAAAATGAATAATGGCGTTTCAATTTGCTTTACTTCCTTTTCGCTGTGTCTTGACTTCCAAATGCGACACATACTTAACAACTTCTCTTTTACTTTTTATGGCAGTCGTGAACCTTCGCCCGCGAAGTTTCCGGGGAGCACGCGAGGCAAGACGAGATTCAGCGAGACTGGAGGGAGAAAGAGAGAGAATGTCGTGCAGTGAAGTGAAAGCAGCGGAGTGGATGACAAAGCGCTCTCCCCGTGCATTTCTGGGAGCCCATTCATCGAGCGCGACACAAAGCGCATGCGCAGCCCGGACAGCCTCGCAGTAACACACCTGCCCGAAGAGGGCGAGTCTGGCAACCTCGCATTGTCAGCTTCTTTCTCCGGGAAAGAGAGGAAAAGGGGGGTATTTAACCGGGGACGTCCTTTCGGCCTAAGCCCCGCTCTCGGTGGTTTCTATGGCGCCGCGCAGAGATTTTAAGCGCGGATCTAATGCGACGTCTTCTTTTCTTTCATTTTCCCGCCTGCACAAGTGTATAATGCTTCCCGGTCGATGTCAGGGGTCGGGCCTCGGTACGGGTCTGAGGTATCGGCGGGGGGCAGGCCCTTTTGATTGGGGGGACACGGGGAAAAGACGTGTTCGGAGAATTCCTGGGGAACCCCCCTCTCTCTCCGCTTTCCTTTCTGGTAGCCTCCACCCCTCCCGTGCTTTCTGCAAATACTTGGCTGTCTCTCCGCCCGAATGCGACCGCGAGAAATGTTCGCGCGAAGTCGATCCATTCTCGCGTAAATCGTCTCCACCCCGAGAACTTCCCCCACGTCGCTACATCCAATCGATAAAACGTCATATGCTCATCCTCGTTGTTTGCGCAATGAAGATTTTTGGCCAGAGTTATCAGTTTGCTCCGCCAACGGCAAACTCCCGGCTAGCTTGGTCGAAGAAGGAAAAGAGATTGTCGCTAGTTTCGTTGACAGAGCGCTCCGCCAGTCCTGGGAAGATAAGAATAATAGGAGTTTATTTTCCAACGAAGTGCAGGTTGGAGGGCGGCTTGGAAAAAAAGCTGTTAAAAATTTAAAAGTAAACATTTGACAGAGATCTGTCTGGTTGGGAGTAATTAATATTAAAAAATTCGAACACCAACCAAGCCCTTCTGTAGGGACCCAACGTTTCAAGGCCAATTCGGCCTCTTCTTCAGGGGCCAATTCGGCCCCTGAAGAAGAGGCCGAATTGGCCTTGAAACGTTGGGTCCCTACAGAAGGGCTTGGTTGGTGTTCGAATTTTTTAATATAAAAAAGCTGTTAGCACAGCTTGACTGGTCCCAAGCCCCCACAACATCAGCAGCGGCAGAACAGCGAAAAAGAGAGAGAAAAAGAAAGAAGATGAGAGAAAAAAAAGGAGAAAGAAAAAATCAACATTATTTTTACATGGAAGAATCATTTGCACGTGTATTAGAAACAAAGTCGAGCTCTATAAGAGGACACTGCCGCAGTGTTTTCGAACGCAAACACACGAAATACACCCACAAAAAAAAAAACATACATTGCGCAAAACCACTCTCTTATAAGGAAAACAACAAAACATTCAAAAGCATCTTTCGGTCGTGGTCGTTCCGGCTAGAGAGCATCATTTCCCGCAGACCGCCCACTGATAGGTTATCAAGTTCTATGTGATTTTTAGAAAGCTGATTCAGAATTGTTCAAAGTGTGTGAGCAATGCTTTGACGACCGTAATCTGTTCTAGAGAAAGGCACTTGTTAGGGTAACATTATACGTGTTTGATAACTGCATTCTCTTCTTTTTAGATTTGATAACTCTTCAAGACGTCGTATGTGCATATTTTGTTCACTTGGTATGGGCTTCGATCCCGGGATCGAAGCCCGTAACAGGCGGATTCTTCCAGCCGCACACCGGGGGCCTTGAGCCGGACCGTCGGCGAGAATGTCGGCGAGATTTTCTGACCTCCGCGATTGGACAGCGCCCCGCTTGACCTTGGCCTTGGCCAGTCGTGGCGGTCAGAGATCTCGCCGACATTCTCACCTAGAGGGCGCGAGTTGCGCACCGCTTCGGATGGAAGTCAATTCAATGTTCTCCATCTTGGAGACTCGCCCTGAATCATTCCATCTAAAGCCGCCCTCGCACTGCTAACACAGCATGCAAGAGACAGTGTGCAGACACTGTGGCTGTGTTCCACATCTTACCCAATGGATCCGAGTCCTGCCACGCGACAGCTCATTGAAAAGCGCTGGACGCGGGTAGGTTTTGGAACGCCGAGGTACAAAACCCTGACCCTGGAGTGAGATCGAGTACATTTTGGAACACGGCCTAAATGTGTCTTCCTCGTACGACTGTCCTGCCACGATGGTCAGGCAAAATATGTCCGCAGGCAGGTTCAAAACACGCACGAAGCTTCGAAGATGCTCAACGCGCAAGCGAATACTTCATGTCCGCAGCTAGTGAAGTATGAGCAGTATGACCGGAAGGACATTATCGAGAGGCATCGCTGCAGTGCAGCTTGAAACAAAACTCGGACTTGTTCACCGAAGATGAACAAGTTCGATGCACCGTTCTGTATACGCACGATGCATGCGTATGGCCATTCAAGGTCAGCCTCTATTTCTAACCAAAAAAGGGGCGACAGTGTTGCTTTTTTTTTTTTCTCGTTTTTTGACAGGTGCCATTACTTCGGACGTTCCATTAAACCGGCAAAGAAGACTACTACCTAGGAGAGAAGGCCTACTCCCCCCTTCAAACGCCATGGTCGCTTTGCAGCGCCTCACAGCAGGCCTACATTGGTATGGGCTCCAGCCTTTCAGCTGATCGTGGCTTTCCTAAGCCGATATAATAATAATAATAATAATAATAATAATAATAATAATAATAATAATAATAATAATAATTATTATTATTATTATTATTATTATTGTCGATATTATTATTGATATTATTATTTTTAGGCGTGACACTAGCACACGACGACGCCAAAAACCGACCCGTGCCTTGCGGCGACTGTCGTTGAGTTCCGGCGTGTTTGTCGCTAGCGGCGGATCACAGATCCACAAACGATGACGTCATCCACGGGCCTCGTCTTCTGGGCGGTACTGGTAAAAACGGCTACTGTCGTGATCGGCGTCATCATCGCGGAAACGGGCTGCACCGCTGCACCATTTTACATTTACTCTCTAAGTATATATATATATATATATATATATATATATATATATATATATATATATATATATATATATATATATATATATATATATATATATATATTCGATACTGGGAAAAAATGCTGAAACAAGCGCTGTCGGTGCGTATATGAAGCCACAGGCCTTGAAAGGTGAAGGTTTTCAGTGTTCAAAACGTATACAGTCTTCGGGGAAAAAAAAAGAACCTAGATGATGATAAAGTTTCGTCGATCGCATCATCTTCTCCGGAGTCGATGATACGGATGTGCGCCGGAGGCGGACTCGAAAGCGTCAGAAAAATGGGGGCAGGGCGCGACGTCTCCTAACGAGCGAAGGTGTATGGAAAGGGGTGTGGCGATAGAGACGAAATACCGAGACGGCAGAAAGTAGAGATCGGTCGCGCTCTGTTGCTGGAGAACGTTGCTGCATGGTAACGATCGGGACTCGACACGTCGCTACGGTCGGCATTGTCGGTATTTCGCTCTTGAGCAAGAGCTCACTCTTTGGCGGGATATCTTTCGTCTTCATCGAGGAAAGCAAGAGTAACGTCGGAGTATCTTCACACTTGCCACCACCCCAAAAGCCGCCATCACACTGCAAAAGACACGGTCGTTCGCTGTAGACAGGGTGACAGAATGACCTCGTTTGTTTTCTTACGTATGGATATGCTTCGAACGTATCCGCTCACAGTTTGTGTATGACCAATGGACCGCCGCACAAGGCCCAACGTCTGCGCCCTCACTTTTCTAGAACGTTGGAGCAGCGCGACAGAGGGCGCCATCGAAACATCCCGCCGCCAGTACGACGCTTAAGTGAAATCAACAATCTCGCCCGACTGCATGGTCGAAAACAGGATTCAAAAAGAGAAATATGTAAATTCTCCTCTGAGTATTTTGGTGTTTCAAAACACGTTCCTGACACGCACGCACGCACGCACGCACGCACGCACGCACGCAAATAAAGAAGAGAGAAAGCGCCCGTTCAGAATTTGTTTCCTGAACCTTCTCGCAGTCGTAAA